GGTGGTGTGCCATACCTCTCCGTCTTTCTGAGCCCTTCTGTCTCCTCTTATGAACACTTCTTGAATCTCTTGTTGATACCTCACATACTTCACGGTCATTTCTTGTTTGTCTCTCCTCCTTCCTTCTTTTAGCCTAATACCTGGTCCTTGACTGTTCTGTTTTCCTCTCCTATGTGGCTGTCAACAGTTTTCGGTCAAGATTTGGCTTTTGTGCTATGTCGTTTCATATTGTCCTTGCCGCCCTTCTTATCTGAGCATATTCCGGTTCTGGCTCTACGACTGCTCTCCTTATTCTCCTGGGTCTTTGCCTTCCATATTTGCTCCATTTCCCTACACACTTGTATTTTGCCTCCCTGCACCATTGGGTAAACCCAAGGCTCATCCTGGCTTTTCATTATTCCTGTTACCCTTGGGTACTAAACCTCTCCTCAGCCTCCTTGCATTTTTGTTGCTACATATTCCATCATCTCATTAACTGGCTCCCTGCCAGTTCTCGTGTCCCCACTAACCCCCGTTCAGGAAGTTCCTCATTCGCTGAGTAGTCCCCCTTTCTGTAGTTTGGCTTCATTCGACCTGGCATTCCCCCCCCTGGGTGGGGGGGGTGGCTTCTTCCCTCCCTTGATCTCACGGTGTATCGAAGCTTAAAACCACAATGGTCACTGGCCCCAAGGGTCTTCATATTGAGTCCACGATATCTGCCTACACAAGGTGAAACTATTCCTGCCTTGCTGGTCATCCTCTCCCTCCTCCTCTTGAGTGTCCCATACGTGTAGGCACAATGAAGTTTTTCCAGTCAACCACCTCCATCATCTTAGCCCTCCCTGTATCTTGCCCCTCATGTGGTCCAATTTCTCCAATCGATCTCCATGTGGATAAAGTCACCCATGATCAGGAGCTTGCCTTGCATGCATGACTCTTCTGGCACTCTAGCACCATTGATCCAACCATCGCTCTATTTGCTCCTCAGTCGTTACTCTTGCCTTGGCCTCCTGCTGTTCTGTGGTGGTTTAAACATCACTGCTATTACCACCTTGGGACCTCCAAGTAGCAGCGTTTTCCCGGCTATGTAATAACTTTCTTCTCCGCTGTCTCCTCTCCCAGCTCATCAAAATCAGCGATTTTTTGAATCAGCCATGCCACTACCCTCCCCCCCCCCCTGTTCCTCTGCCGTTCCTAGGAATTAGGTATCCCGTTGGAAAGATGCATCCTGTTATCAACCAGTAAGCTTGGATTCTGTGAGAGCATGATGTCCGGGTGAAGCTTCTTTGACTCTTCATGCCACCCACCCACCTTATATGTTTATTCCCTCAGCGTTTGTGTACCATACCTTCAGTTTTCCTTTCCAACACTGTGGTGTTTGGGGCCTGTGAGGGGGAGACCGGTGGCATACTGTGGGATTCTATAGCCGTTGTTTGGGTGGAGGCTTGTGTATGGACTGGTAAGTGTGTGTTGGGATGGTGTGATAGGCATGTACGGTCTGTATGGTGTGTGTGTGTGTGTGTGTGTGTGAATGTTTTAAATTCCTCCTGCACATTATTAGTTCTGAAATATTGGAAAAATATCATCATTATTATTATTTGCATTACGTTAGTGAGAAATCACTAAACCCGGAAAGGCTATTTCGCTCCATTTGATCCAAGCAAAGAGAAAGTGGCTCTGTATTCTTAGATAAAATAAAATGTTCCTAACAATTAATTCGATTTGATCTATGAAGTGGTTTACCTATAAACTATTACATCATCCAAGCTTTTGAAATATTTTTTGAAGCATTCTACGCCTTCGAGTCTGCAAAATCAAATCTTCTGAACAACTTCGCCAAGTTTGGTCCAGCGTCACTTCACTTAGAAGATGAGACTAAACCTGTGGAACTTGCCACCAAGATCTTTGATCAATATGTTGGAGGTGTTAAAGTTAACTTGGAAGATGCAGAGAATATCTGTCGGGTAAGAGATAATTCTAATTAATGCTTGCAATTATCCCTCTGCCATTTTATATTTACCAAGTGAAATTTGTTTAATATATTTTTAAAAAGACATTTGTCAGACGTCAAATATTTATTTATTATTAAATGATTTAAAATTTATTTGTTAATATAAAAGTTTTACATCCCCGACTGCCTTAAAAAACAGATATAATCGAATATTTAAGGCAATTTATTTAACTCTGATTACAAAATCAATACTCATACAACGTATGAAATAGTCATAGAACGTATGAAATATATATTTCAGGTGTAATGTGTTTGAGAATCATTTCATTAACAAACAGGTACATGATTCATTCTCAGAAGAATGTTATCAGTAGGATGGTTCCCTAAAGTGTGATTTCTTCCTTCTTAATCAGATGTTTAATGATCGTTTCTACAACATACCTCAAGACACAGCAGCCATTATCCATGCTAAAAATATGGGACCTAATAAGAAAATATTTATAACTGAACTAAACCATAAAGGTCAACGATCATTGTCAAGTCATTTAAACGTCAGCGTTGGTCGGCACTGTGAGTGTTAAGTCACCTTATTGATGTAGTAATTTGGGTCTAATAATAATAATAAAAAGTAATAATAATAATTTATTAAGGGGAAGTGGAAACCTGTGGGATCAAAGTGAACTTAAATATGAGAGAAAATTAATTATGATCCAAGGAAGTGGAAGGTAGATCCAGTTTGTGAAAAAACCAACCATCGCTTCTCATCAGTGTATTGTGTTTGTCATCGTCATTACTTGTATTACTTATTATTATTATTATTATTATTATTATTATTATTATTATTATTAGTAGTAGTAGTAGTAGTAGTAGTAGTAGTAGTAGAAGTAGTAATAATAGTAGTAGTAGAAGAAGTAGTAGTAGTAGTAGTAGTAGTAGAAGTAGTAATAATAGTAGTAGTAGAAGAAGTAGTAGTAGTAGTAGTAGAAGTAGTAATAATAGTAGTAGTAGAAGAAGTAGTAGTAGTAGTAGTAGTAGTAGAAGTAGTAATAATAGTAGTAGTAGAAGAAGTAGTAGTAGTAGTAGTAGTAGAATTTGTAATAATAGTAGTAGTAGAAGAAGTATTTAGTTGTATTTAGTATTTAGAAGTAGTAAAAATAGTAGTATTTAAAAAGGGAAGTATGTAGTAGTGGGTTGTAGTAAATAGTGGGTAGTTTTTAGAATTTAGAAAATTTGTAGTATTAGTGGGTAAAAGAAGAAGTAGTAAAAGGGAAGTAGTAGTAGTAGAAAGAAATTAATGGTAGGGGTTTTGAAGCAGTAGTAAAAGAAGTAGTAAAAATTATTTATAGTAGCAAAAAGAAGTGTGAAATTTTAGAAGTATTTTAGTAGAAGTAGTAGTAGTGAAGTAGTTGTGGGTAGTAGTATTTAAGAGTAGTATAGTACAGTAAAAAAATTTTATTTAGAAGTAGTAGTTAGTAGTATTTAGTAAAAAAGTAATAGTAGTGTATTTGTAGAAAGTAGTAGTTTTGTAGAAGTAATAGAAGAAAGTAGAAGAATTAGTAGAAAGTAGAAGTTTTTAGTAGTATTAGTGGGAAAGTATTTAGAAGTAGTAGTGGTAGAAGTAGTTTTTAAGTAGTATAGTAGAAGTAGTAGTAAAGTAATAAAATTTGTAGTAAAATTTAAAGTAGTAGTAGTATTTATTGTAGTAGTAGTATTAGTAAAAATTTGTAAAAGGTAGTAGTAGTAGAAGTAGTGGTAAAAGAAAGTGAAGTAGTATTTATTTATTTGTAGTAGAAGTAGTAAGTAGTAGTATTTGTGTAGTAATATTTTTAGTAGAAGTAGTAGTGTAGAAGTAGTAATAATAGTACTGGAGTAAAAGTAGAAGTAGTAGTATTTAAAAAGTAGTAGTAAAAAGTGTATTTAAAAGGGTGTGGTATTTAGAAGTGTAGTATTTAGTAGAAGTAGAAAGTTGTAGAAGTAGTAGTGTTTTAGTGTAAAAGTAGTAGTAGCGTAAAATTTATTTGAAGTAGTAGTAGTGTAGTAGAAATTTTTTTGTAGTATTTGTAGAGAATTTAGTAGTAGTAGTAGAAGTAATGGGAAGAAAGTAGAAGTAGTAGTGTAGAAGCAGTAGTAGTATTAGTAGAAGAAATTTAAGAAGTAGTAGTACTAAAAGTATTTGTAGTAGTATAGCAGTAGAAGTATTTAGAAGTAGCCCCCCGAAAGTAATAGTAGTAGTAGAAGTAGAAATAGTGGGTTGTATTTAAAAAAAGTAGTAGTAGTAGTACAAGTAATGGGAAGTAGTAGAAAAATTTTAGTAGTAGTAGAATCTTTTGTAGTATTAGTAGAAGTGGTAGAAGTAGTAGTGTAGAAGTAGTAGTAGTTTTGTAGTAAGTAGAAGTAGGAAGTGTAGTAGTGTAGAAATGTATTGTAGTAGAAGAAGTAGAAGTATAGAAGTGGGTAAGTAGTATTTAGTATTTAAGTAGTAGTAGTAGTAGTAGTAGAGAAGAAGTAGTAGTGTGTTTTTAGTAGTAGTATTTAGTAGAAAGAAGTAGTATAGTGAAGAAGAAAAAGTTAGTAGTTTTTATTTGTTAGTAGTATAGTAGAAATAGTGTAGTATTTGTCTAGTAGAAGGGGGTTGGGAAGAAAAGTAAAAATTAGAAGTAGTAATAAGTAGTAATAGTCGTAGTAGTAGTAATAGTAGTGAAGTAGTAGAAGCAGTAGAAAATAGTTTTTAGTAATAGAAGTAGTAGTGGGAAGTAGAAGTTGTAGTAAAAGTAGTAGTAGTAGTAGGGTGTGTACCCCCCCCAGTAGTAGTGAAGTACTAGTAAAGTTTTTGTGGGAATTTAGTAGAAGTATAGTAGTAGGGTAGTAGTAGAAGTAGTATTTAGTAGTAGTAAAAAAGTAGTGGTATTAGTATTTATTTAGTTGAAGTAGCAGTAGTAGTAGTAGTATTAAAAGCAGTAGTATTTGAGGTAGTAGTAGTAGTTAAGTAGTAGTAGTAGTAAAATTTAGTATTTAGTATTTGTAGTAGTAGTGGTGGAGAATTTAGTTTTTTAAATTTAGTAGTAGTAGTATTTGTAATAGAAGTAGTAGTAGTAGTTTTTAGTAGTAGTAGTAGTAGTAGCAAAAAGGTAGTGTGGGAATAAGTAGAAAGTATGTAGTATTTAGTAGTTAGAAAATAAAAGGGTAATAGTAGTATTTGAAAGTGGGAGTAAGAAGTGTTGAAATTAGTGTAAAAAGTAGAAGTAGTAGAAGTAGTACTAGTATTTGGAAAAGTAGTAGTATTTAAAAGTATTGGGTGGAAGTAGTAGTAGTGTAGTAGTTTTAGAAGTTAGTATGTAGAGGGGTTTGGGAAGTAGTAGTATTAAAAGTAGTGTATTTGGTAGTAGAAGTAGTAGTATTTAAAAATTAGTATATTAGTATAAGTAGTGAAACCCGTAAAAGAAGTTTAGAAATAGTAAAAGTAGCAGTAGTAGTAGTTTAGTAGTAGTGGTAGTAGTAGAAGTATTTGGTATAGTAGAAGTAGTAGAAATTTATTTAGTAGTTCTGTAGTATTTTTTAGTAGTAAAAGTTGGTAGTAGTAGTAGAAGTAGTAGTAGAAATTTTAGTGGGTAGTAGTGTAGTATTTTTAGTAGCAGTAAAAAGTAGTAGCAGAAGTAACAGTACTAAAAGTATTTGTGGGTTGTAGTAGTGTAGAAGGAAATTAGTAGTGTAGTGTAGTAGTTGTAGTAGTGGGAGAAAATGGTAATAGAAGTAGTAGTAGTAGTAGTAGTGTATTAAAAGGGTTTTAGAATTAGAAAGTAAAAGTAGAAAGTTTTGAATTTTGTAATAGTGGAAGTAGTAGTATTTAAAAGTAGTAGTGGTTTAGTAGTAGTAGTTTAGTATTTAGTAGCAAAAGTAGTAGGTATTTAGTATTTAGTTGTAGTTAGGTGAATTTGTAGTATTAGTAGTAGTAGTAGTAGTTTTCTAGAAATTTGTAGTAGAAATAGTAGTAGTGAAAAGTATTTTAGTAACATTTAAAAGGGAATTAGTTTTGTAGAAGTAGTAGTAGAAAGAGAAAAATTTTAGAATAGTAAAATTTGTAGTAGAAGTAGTGGAAGTAGTAGAAGTTGTAGTAGTAGTAGGGTAGTTCTAGTAGTAGAAATTAGTATTTAAAAGTGTAGTGTAGTAAAAAAGTAGTATTTGGCCAGTGGTATTAAGTATTTAAGTAGAGTATTTAGCTAGAAAAGAAGAAGTAGAGTAGTAAAGTATAAAAAGAAGTTAGTGTGGGTGGGAAAATTTTAGAATTAAAAAGTAGTAAAGTTTAGTAGTAATAGTAAAAAAAGTAGTAGAAAGTAGTAGTGTTAGTATTTAAAAAAGTAGTAGTAGTAATTGAAGTAGTAGTAGAAAAAGTGGGTTTGTATTTTTGGAAAGAAGTGGGTAGTGGGTAGTTGTGGGTAGTAGTTAGTGTGGGAATTAAGAAAAATTAAAAAAGAGTAGAAATTTGTTTTGTAGTGGGTGTAATAGTAAAAAAGTAGTAGTAGTATAGTGGGAAATAGTATTTTAGTAGTGGGGTAGAAGTAGCGGGAAAATGAGTAGAAATGGGAATTTTGTAAAGAAGTAAAAAAAAAAGGGGGTTAGTGGGGTAGTATGTAAAAAGTGGGTAGTAGTAGTATTAGTAGTGGGTTTTAGTAGTAGTTAGGGTAGTAGTGTAGAGTAGAAAGTAGTTGTAGTTTTAGGGGGTAGTTGGTAGTAGTAGTAGTAGTAGAAGTAGTTTTTAGTGGGTGGGAAGATTTTATTTAAAGGTAGTAGTAGAAGAAGTTGGGGTAGAGTTAGTAGAACAAGTGTAGTAGTGTGGGTAGTAGTAGAATTGGGGGTAGTAGTAGTAGGGGGGTAGTAGTAGTAGAATTTAGTAGGGGGAAGTAGTATTTGTTTTTAGTGTAGTAAAGGAGAAAGTATAGAGTATTTGTAGGTAGTAGAAGTTGTAGTAGGAGTAGTAGTAGTATTAGGTAGTAGTAGTAGTAATAGAAGTAGTAGAAAAGTAAAGTATAGAAAGAGTTAGATATATTATTTTAGTAGATTTAAGTAGTGTGAGTAGTAGAAGTGGGTAGTAGTAGGATTTAGTATTTTGGAAAAAGTAGAAAAAGTAGTAGTGTGGGAAATTTTATTAATTAGTAGGTAGAAGTATTTGTAGAAATAGTAGTAGTAAAGTGGGTGTAAAGTAGTGGGTAGGAAGCAGGTAGTAGAAGTAGTAGTTAAAGTAGTTGTAGAAGTGGGCCCAAGTGTATTTGTAGTGTGGGAAAGTTTTGAGTAGTGGGTTAGTAGTGAAGTAGTAGTAAATTTAGTAGAAGAGTTGTGAAAAGTAGAAGTAGAAAGGAGGTAGTAGTAAGTAGAAATAGAATTTAGAAAAGTATTTAGTTGTAGTGGGGTAGAAAAAGAGTAAAAGGGTAGTAGTTTAGTGGTGTGTTGTAGTAGGTGGTAGTAAAAATTGAAAAAAAGTAGTAGTAGTTAGTTGGAAGTATTAGAAAATTTATTTGTGGGAGTAGAAGTGGGAAATAGTAGTATTTAGAATTTAAGTAGTAGAAGGTGGGAGA